CCCCGTGGGTCGGTATAGGAGTAGTTGGTGGGTGAGGCGTGCGGCACCCCGCACAGAGGGGTGTGGGGAGAGGGCAGACGATGCAGCCCCCTGCCTTACAGGGTCCTTCCTAGAAGTACAATCCCCATTATTTCTTTTCAAATATTCTCAGTTCAGACATCATTTTGCGGCTGCTTTTAATTGTATGACAGCTACGCAGCTGGACCTAATTTAGCAAATAGTCAAGATTGGAGAAATCAGAGACTAGCAGCAGTTACTGCCCCAGAAAATCTCTGGCAAGTGAAGGATATCATTTCTCATGTCTCTTTCACAAAATTTGATGTACCATATCTGAACCTTGTGAATTGACCTGAGGCTATATATAGGCCAGTGAGAAACAAACCTGGTGAAATCCAAAACACAGAAAATATGGACAACAACAAAGTGATCAAAATCAACAGTGCTGTCTTATTAAATCTGGTCTACAGTCAGGTCCAGAAATATTGGGACATTGACACAATTCTAACATCTTTGGCTCTATACACCACCACAATGGATTTGGAATGAAACAAACACAATGTGCTTTAACTGCAGACTGTCAGCTTTAATTTGAGGGTATGTACATCCAACTCAGGTGAACGGTGTAGATTAGAGTTTGCCAAACGACATCTAAAAAAGCCTTCACAGTTCTGGTATGTACATCCAACTCAGGTGAACGGTGTAGATTAGAGTTTGCCAAACGACATCTAAAAAAGCCTTCACAGTTCTGGTATGTACATCCAACTCAGGTGAACGGTGTAGATTAGAGTTTGCCAAACGACATCTAAAAAAGCCTTCACAGTTCTGGTATGTACATCCAACTCAGGTGAACGGTGTAGATTAGAGTTTGCCAAACGACATCTAAAAAAGCCTTCACAGTTCTGGTATGTACATCCAACTCAGGTGAACGGTGTAGATTAGAGTTTGCCAAACGACATCTAAAAAAGCCTTCACAGTTCTGGTATGTACATCCAACTCAGGTGAACGGTGTAGATTAGAGTTTGCCAAACGACATCTAAAAAAGCCTTCACAGTTCTGGTATGTACATCCAACTCAGGTGAACGGTGTAGATGTACATACCCTCAAATTAAAGCTGACAGTCTGCAGTTAAAGCACATTGTGTTTGTTTCATTCCAAATCCATTGTGGTGGTGTATAGAGCCAAGGATGTTAGAATTGTGTCGATGTCCCAATATTTCTGGACCTGACTGTATATTTCAAAAAACATACCGAATTGTAGAATGTCGTCTTGACTATTATACTTAGCATTTCAGTCTGGAGCCACAGTAGGTAAGCAAAATTTATTCCCCTCCAGTGTAGGCTTTGTAGATGGAGACAGTGTAAATGAAGCTACCATTAACTCATTGCAGTGAAGCTACCTGGAGAAGTTTCATACCTTGATGAAGTATCATGATGTGCAAACACAGCTTCTGACAATACTGTTCCTTTGGACAATACTGAGTCAGAAGCATTAAAAGTCTGAACAGTAAAAAGCCACTTCCAAGCAATAAAATACTCAGTTTAGCATGATTCCTGCTTTGTAGAGATTGTCATCTTTGTAGATTTTGTACTTCTGGGAAGGACCCTGTAAGGGTTTGCCTTTTATTGTCCTAACAGTTGGCCAGTCAGAATATTTGATGCTTACTTAATTTGTGTTTATATACTAGGTAGGCAGTTGATGCAATCTAGGAGATATTTCTCCTCCAGTTTCATCATAACAATCCTGTGAGGTAGCCTGAACAGAGAATTGTGATTGCCCCTAAGACACCCAGGGAGCTACTTGGCCATCTCTTCCTAGTATGAACCAACCTGAAGATACTTTTAAGAATTTTGTCCAACTTTCTGTTGGGCCTTAGGTTTTCTTTATATTTATCAACTTCCCAGCTTGCCTCAGTTTAAGTTGGCATTTAAATTTAAGTTCTTGAAGTACACTCAAGCACAATATAAATACTTTTCTAAATAATACCATCATTGCTGAGATAAATCCTCTTGAAAGGGCAGGAGCTAGAATAGCCCTCCTCAACCTCACACCCTTCAGATACTAGAATGAATGAATGCTTTATAGCTGAAAGCTACGTGTCCAATACCTTAAACACATGCTACATTATACCACAATACTTGAGATTTTGTTAGTCCCAAACACCCCAGGTGGTAGGGTAGAAAACATTTAGTCTGAGAAGACTATACTATATTCATAAATTGTAACCAAGCGTCAGTTGTACTGAACATTTCCTACTGTAAGAAACAAGATTTGTGAAGAAAAAATATTTTAACACATTCAAGTTTATAGCAAGGAAATACTGTAGTCATAACTGATAGAAAAGATTGTGTATTTAATTGCATTCATGATTATGCATTTCCCATTCATTGTAACAGAGTTGTTTCAAAGCTAAACCCTAGGAAATCTTGTGGAAAGAGCTGTCTCATGCAAGGAAAGGCTGTTTTTCCTGCAAAGGTTAGTTGGCCTTATTTTTAGTTTTCCAGTGTTAATATTTTTCCATTTTTGCAAAGGAAGTATAAGGAACTGCCAGTACTAGAAATTAAATTCCTTATGTACAAATCTAACATGATACACAGCCAATAATTACAGTTACACCATTAAAGTTGACACCAATCCAGCATTTTCAGAAGAAATAGCAGAAATGAAACTAATGCCTATAGAAGTCATATTTTAAAAGATACTGAAATATTCTGAGCTAAAAAAGGGAAATCTAGCTAAGGTTGTAGCTAAGATTATAAATACACTTACTTGAATGTCTCTCTGAATTTAATCAGGCCTACTTCTAAGAGGATTTCACTATTATGGCTATGAACTGTTATTGTTAAATACATCATAACTTATGATTTAGTTTTATTCTGAACAGTATGCATTTTATTTCATATGCATGAAACATATCTACTGTATGTTTCAAGAAAAATTCTTATACTTGTTTAACTTCAAATGAAGAGAGACTTTTTGTATTTACATTTTCTTTTTAAAACAAAGAGCTTTTAAAAAACCCTACTGAATTTGTAATGAAGTTTCAGTGAGCACAGATATATTACTTCCATTAATTTGATCAAGCATTTATAAAACGTTCCTTTTTAAAAAGGCTTACCTCTCAATATGAAACATACACAGGACGTGGTTCTGAACTCTTTCCCAAGCTTGCTTCCTTACAGATATGCAAGAGCACCATCTGCTGAAAATATCACTAAAGTTTTTGAATAAGTATTGTCTAACCTTCTTTGGGAAGAGATATAAAAATAAATAAAATCAAAAGTACAGATGGGAGCAGGTAAAAACCTGGGCTATAAACTTAGCAGTAAGCTTCTGAACATTAATTATAAACAAAGTCAGTCTGTAAACCCAAGGCCTGTCCATCCGTGTATTAAAATGCCAGCTACATCTTTATTGTAGAGAAATGGCATGTGTTTGAAGTTAGTTCCCCACTAACAATTTCATCTGACTACTGTTGGGCCAAAACAATAGTAATGGCTATTTATATCACTTTAGTAATGGCTGGATGATGCTATGAGAATAATTTAAGTCACTGTTGGGGAAATGGTCTGAGACAGGATGCAAGTTAGTAACTCTGTGGTGCCAAACTGAAGAAATGAAGTCAATTAAATCTAATTTTCCAATGGGAATTATTCAACAAACACAATATATATCATTTTAATACATTCTGGAATTAAAGCCTCCATGCTAGACCATGAATTGAGAAAATTCTCTCTTTGTAAAAACCTTCATAATAATGATTTCATAGTATTTTTTCCATTTCTTTCCATGAGGCTGTTCTTCAGCCCTTCTGTCACACTTAAATCAACATGAATGGGAGTATTCCCATTCAATACTCTGCTATTTGAATTTTTTTTTTAAAAAAGGAATAATCTTACTGTAAGATTCCCTCCTCCTTCATTATACTTAAACTTTTAGTCCATTACTGTATTCCTGGATCAGTGTTAATGCCAAGGGAACAAGCTGTTCCTGTAACTACTCTGAAAATATCCAATATACAGGCTAAAACTCAGGTTCAGGATTATAATGAGAACAAGAAGAGGAAATAACTGACATGTAGCACAATCTGAAGGTGACACATAGTCAGTCCTATTAAGTTCACTAAAACTTAGCAAAAGGTAAGTGTAGGTCACGATGTCCACTGGTGTATAAATAATTAAACAAACTGTAAATAGCATCACAACTTAAGGCTGCAATCTACATATCTAGGCTTAAGCCCAATGAATTCAGTGTGAACTACTTCTGAGTGGAATGATTGGAATTGTGCCATTATAAATTTTAAACCAATGCTCCTTTCCTCACATGTAAAGGTTTAAAATGGCTTTCCTAAACTTCAACTAAATAATATGTGTACTGCATAATATTTATTGAAAATTAAAAAGTTGATAGTTTACATCAACTGTAAGAAATTCTGTACCTTGCTTTTCTGGAATCTTTGGAATTATATTTTAAAATTTGCAAACATTTTCTTTTTAATTCTGAAATAGATCATCACATATTTAGGGACTGATAGGAAAACAAATATAAATTTGTAGTACATAGGAAGAATGAATCATTTCCATTGGAGGGATTAAAAGTTATGAAAGTCTTACAGTAATTTTGATTAAATGTAAAGACATTCTCTTAAACCAGAAAATAAATCTGAATTCATTTCCTGAATCAACAAATAAAACTATTTTTCTGCTTTTCATCTGAACGGAAATACTTGACATTGGTCACATTGAGAATTGTATTTAGTCCGGGATTATAGGAAAGGGATTTTATTCTAAAAGAAATTACATCACATAACTAATTAATCAAGAACTTTATTCTATTGAATTCAGGTGTTTTGCTTTGGTGTGTTGCAGTATGGTGTGTTGTCTCGCAGCAGCTCCTTTCTTGGGAGAAGCACTGGAAGAAAAAGACATTACTTGTTAGATTTTCCATGCTATTGTTTAAACAAAGGACCGCCGTCTTTCTACTACTCTAACAATAATGGAGATTGCAGAATTAGAAGCAGTATTTTCTACAAATAGTAATTAGCTAAACTAATTACAAATATATGTATTTAAATGTAGTGCCCACTGGAAAGATCATTCAATATTCTTTATCTTTTTGTCATAGACAGGATGTTGCAAAATACTCTGTGCTAAGTTAAAACATTCATTCACCCAGCCAAGAATTATCTGTATCAAATTGGTGGTGGCTTCCCTGAGTTTGAGGCAGGGATTTTTCTAGTTCTACCTAGAGATGCCATTTCAGCAAGTGACAACATTTGCCTGGGCTTGGAAATTAAGCAGAATTGGGCCTACTTGGTTCTTGGATGGGAGACTAACAGGGAAAACCAGGGCTATACGGCAGTCTAAGAAGTTAAATACATAAATAAATCCTGGAAGAAAAAATGGCAGATGTTTCTGTACTGTGGTATAATTATGTCCATGTGGTAATCAACAACTGAGCTCCAACTGAGATCATCTTTATCCCCCTTAAGTGTGCAGAGATTGAATCTGGGACTTTTTGTCCACAAAGCAATACTTTATTACTGAGCTACATACCCCTGTAAGTAGCTAGTAAGGACTTGATTAATATTTTGCAACACAGTGCTCCATTATTTCTCACTCTTCACTCAAAAAAAGCCAAATCTGAAATCTCAGTTTAATGGAGAACTAATGTCACATGGTGGTTACAGTGTTGAACTAAAACTGTGGACACCCCAGTTTGGGTCCAGCCTCAGCCATGGAAGCTGACAGGGTGACTCTGGGTCAGAAAGACTCTCAGGACAACCTAGTGCACAGCATGGCTGTCGTGGGGCAAAATTGGAAGAGAGAGTGCTGTGTATGCCCCTTGGGCTCCTGAAGGAAGGATGGGACAGAAATGTAACAAAGAAGTGCATAAAGACAGTGAACAAACATCTTTTTATATGATCAATGAAGTCATATTCTCACCTCTCCTTAAAAAGGAAAGAGAGAAGAGCCACTTGTTGAGTTCTGTTTACTGCAACGCTCCTCTCCAGGCTTCCCCTGTACAAAAGTTCAGACCATCTGAAACTTTCAGCATATGCTCCCCAAACCTTTCAGATTAGTTGAAAGAACTGTATCTAAAGCCTGCAATCCCAGCAAATACTCTTTCTAATTAACACTAGTCTGGGTTGGAAGGGCAGCCAGCAAAAGTCAAAAAGGTGAGAAAACTCTGTCAGATTCAAGACTAACAGGAAATAAGAGCACTGTTTACTGATACAGCACATTCTCTGCGTGAACAAAGTCTCAACTTCAACCCTTGGTACTGACAGTTAAATAGGATCTGACAGCAGGAGGAGAATACTTTGCATGAGACCATCCAGAGCTGCTGACAGATCAAACAGCACCAGGCCAGGTATAACAGTCAATGCTGTATGAGTAACACTAACTCTGCCCTTGATCATCAAGTTTCAACAAGGATCCCTCACTCTTAAGCTTTTTTTTTGTTTTAAGGAGAGGGGGAGAGAAGAAAGATACAGAAAAGGGGAAAAGGGGCATATTTGATAATTACTGGAGTAGCTAGTTGGGAAATAGATAGAACTGGAACAAGTGTGGCTGCTTATCAGATCATCAGCAAGTAATTCAAGAGAGTGGAAAAATAATTTAGAGTGGACATTTAGGAGGGAAAGAAGTGATGAAAGCTCCTGGGAAATGCAACTAGTGAATTCCCCAAAACTAAGACTAGTCCCTGGCACTGTTGACTCCACCCACTTTGCATCATCACCTCACCCAATGTGACTTCTCAATTCCCCCTCCCCCCCCCAAAATACTATGGATTGGCCATTCTTGACAGGATATAAATCCAACACTGAGCACACAAATTAATAATTTTGGTATATTGACCTCTTTCTTATTTCCTATCCCTCTTCAGTATTCTAATCCTATATTTCTTAGTCAAGTTTAGGAATGTGTTGTATATAGTCTGGACAGTGACTGAACACTCCTGTGAAGTAATAACCTGCTGGATTTGGCTTTTATCTCTGCTCAGATGCTTTAAGTTTTATGACTAAAATAAGCTAAATATACAGAGCTGTGTTTCGAGAGGTAACCATAAAAACTGGATCAGTTCACACATCATGTAAACCCCTGTTGTAATCATGGTGTGTTGAATAAATCACAACTAGTAAGTTTTATGTTCATGCTAAGCCATAAACCATGATAACCATTGGGCTAAACAATTCTTTACAGTCCCTGATTTATATACTGATAGGCTCTGAGCTGACTGAAAGGAACTAGGAAAAGATCTTTGGGGAGGGGGTTGTCATGTTGTCATTGGTGTCAATAATGAAGTGGATAACTCAGTAAAGATGCTCATGCAATGTACAGCAGCTGTGAAAAAGGCAAATTTCCATGCTATAGATCATTAGGAAAGGGATAAAAATGCCAACAGAAATTTATGGTACCTTTATGTCTGGAATGCTAGATAAGGTTTTGGTTGCAAACTGAATCTGTACATATTGGGGATTAAAACTAGGTTTACCTGTCTGATATTAGTCATAACATTTTATATTTTGCATTGCAAGGTATCAAACATCTCACATTCCACAGGAAGTATAGGATAAAAATATAGAGTGAACATATTTATTTATTTATTTATTTATTTATTTATTTAAAATTTAGATACTGCCCATCTCACAAGGAAGTGACTCTGGGTGGTTCACAAAACAACAAATAAATATTAATTAAAATACAATAAAAACAGTATAAAAAAAAACAGTAAAGCCAAACACATACACAAATAATATCTTCCAAGATGCTGGTGATCAATAACATGTTAACATATGGGAGCATCTTCAAGGTGCTAGCCACCCCCAGGGTTGGTTGCCCCTTCTCTCTCCCCATGCCAGTTGGCAGAGCCAGGTCTTGACTGCTTTCCGGAAGGACAGAGTTGGGGCCTGCCTCACTCTGGGGGAAGGGTATTCCATAGGGCAGGGGCTGTGGCAGAGAAGGCTCTTTCTGGACCCCGCCAGTCGACATTCTTTCACTGAGGGGGTCCACAGCATATCCTCTCTGCTTGACTGGGTGTGACGGGTTGATATAATGGAGGTGAGACGGTCCCTCAGGTAACCCAGTCCCATGCCAA